GTAAAATGGAGAAGGGAAATAATATTAGGCTGATCTCAGGGTATATGAAGATTAAGTCAGTTAATGTGATAGCACTTAGAACTGAGTGTTTGACATACACTAAGTATACAACAAACATCATGTTTTATCAGTATTATTGTTGTGTTTGCTATCATTATCATCATGGCTGGGGGATAACTTCATTTTCTCAACAGCCTGATAAGGACCCAATATATCTCCATTGTTTCTACTGCCTTTTTGAAGGTTTTCTAACTAATTATTCAATTTTCCTAACCAGTATAATATGTCGTTATCTATTTTTTCTCTTAATTTCATAAGGTTACCTTTCTCCAAAAAAAAAAATCTAGATCACTTGCATCTTCGAATGTATTGTTCTAAAAGTGATTTTTTATTTCCTTTGTTATTTTAATATCTAGAGAGCAAACAGGAATGTTCTTTTCTCCTAATTTTTGGAATTTGAGTCTTTCAATATTTTTTGTTCATGTGACTAAAGGATATCATGTTTTTTCTACTTCTTGCCCATGATTTTATAATTTCTACGCTTATCATTATTATCTTCCTTCCACTTGCTATGAATTCAATTTGTTCTTTTTTTCCTTAGTGAGAATCTCAGCTGGAAGTTTATTACCCTTCTTTTTTTTCTAGTAGAGGAATGCTACAAGTTTTCCTCTCAGCATCATTTTAGTCACATAATTCAAAGTTGTATATATTTAGCCTTAAATTTTCTTCCAGTTTAAAATATTTTCTAATCTCCCTTGCATTTTTCACTTTGAGCAGTGGGTTATTAAAAATTCTGTTCTTTAAAATGAAATATTAAGGCCTTTTCCACATATTTTCCTTCAAATGATTGTTAATTTAATTCCTCTTCCAGGAAAAAATATATATATACTCTTTATAATTTAAGTATTTGAAATTTTAGTTTTGTTTTATGGTACAGAATATGATCTATGTTGGCAAATATTCTATATGTACTTAGAAAAAAGTGTGTGTAGTGTTGTCATTGGGTGGAGTATCCTATAAATATGACTTAATAAGTTCATCGGTGGTGTTATTCAAACATCTGTATCTTTTTTTAACTATTTTTATTTTTTTACATCATTCTTCATTTTGTCCATTTTTTCATCTCAGTTGTAATCCCTGTGAACTTCCCACACCTGAGAAGAAAACCAACCACCACTGAACACAGGAAATAGCATCTTTCTTCAGGCAGTTAGTTCTACCACCTGATTCAGATTAATTAAGGGTTTTATTTTAACTCAGCTAGCTTTTATTTGTTATATATTATAACCCCAGGATGAAGGTGATATCAAATAATTTCTTCAGTTTAGTTTAAGAGTTCTTTTGAACTATGACAAAAATAGACCTGGATACAGAAGTAACTTTGAATCTTTTTCAGTGAACAATTATTAGGAAGCAGTAAATGTTGTGAAGTATTTTTAACTGCTGAAAAATGGCAAAGGTCTTGAGCTTTAAAAGTTGAAGCTTCAACAATGCCTAATAATTAAGTTTGTACCAAAGCTGTCAAGCATCTCCTGAGACTTTTCAACTGATTAGATCAGGCTACCCTAGATTATCCAGCAATCACCAGCAATCAGCTACTTAAAGTCAGCTGAATATAGAATTTAATCACATCTGTAAAAGCCCTTAGACTAACACCTAGATTGATGTTAAGGACAATAGCTTAATCAATACCATTAAATATTGCAGGATTTGGGGTTATATTAGGTGACTGTAAGGAAGACCTAAGACTGACTTTGTCTTAATTGAATCATAAAAGGATATGGGTAGTGGAGAGGACTAATTCTATAATTGGACATCTTAAATATTTCTCTTTTTTTAAATATTTATTTATTTGTGCATACAGAAATGGGTTACAGGCCAGAGGCTCAGGGGTGGCAAGAGTCTTCACCAGAGACAGAGAGGGGAGCAGAACAGGCAGATCGATGAAGTACACTGCTGAGGGGAGAAGCGGGCAGGCCAGGAGAGGTCTGCCACACCATGTGGTCACCTCTGGGGCAGGTGGGAATCCAACTCATGTGGAAGCGGCTTTAGATTCTCAGTGCTGTGCTTTAACCCGCTGCACCACCAGGGAGGGCCATCTTAAGTATTTCTTAAAAATAAATAGGACTACACTGAGCCTAAAGTTGTTCAGCAAAAAAAAAAAAAATCAACCTCATTATCTAATAAAGAATAATGCTTGGTCATGTAGTTCAGTCAATATTTATGTTTTGTCTGTGTTCACACTTAATTATGGGGAGACTTTATTTTCTATTTTGATACCTCATGGTCACAGAGTACCTATCCAATACTGCTGTTCTATGAAATGGATTCTATTCACTAAGAAGACACAAAAATCTCACTGTGAGTACAAACTCCTGGTAACACCAAGGCCTAGTTAATATTACTCAACATTTCCAAGATGAAAGGGATTTTTGTGTTTCACCTTTCTTAAAAGTATCTCTATCACCATGAAATAAGAGTGCTGAGAAAAATAAGGCCCATCTAACAGGGGAAAAGAGATTTAGCCTAAATGAACACCCCTCCCAGTGTATCATTTAACAGAACTAAAACTTAGTTTCTGCACTTTGCTCAGCTGAACAATGCTAGGAGACACAAAGTAAATGGAGCTTCCATGGGAAATTGGCCATGTATACACATGTCAGAGGGAGCTATCAAGAATTTGGCAAACAGTTCGCAGAAGTGCAGAAGGCCCACCTATACCTGCTGTCCAAGCAGATAACAACCAGCAGAGACTGAATACCCCAGTCACAAAAAGCCCACCAAAACAGGTTATATAAAAAGGGGCCACAAACCTTCTTGCCATGGGGACTTCTCCCATCTCACCTGCTGCATCTCTTAGTGACGTATTTCAATAAATCTGCCTTTTCTATTCTTTACTCTGTCACTGGTGAATTCTTTGACCCCAGAGCCTCTGACCTCATGTGGAATTCACAGCTACTTTTTTCTTGGGAATACTGTATTGGTGCCCAGAATTTCTGCTTGTCAGCTAGGTGTAGGGTTGTGCGGGGGGCCCCTCACCAAGGATAATAGTCCCAGTATGAGAAACAAACTGGGAAACCAGTATCTGCTGAAAACAGCAGACAGATATTAAAATTAAGGTAATATGCTTTGACCAGCAGGAACAATGGAGCCCACCAGGCAATAACCCTTAGCTTACATTCCCAATAACAAGCTTCCCCCACCATGTATACTCCCTACCTTTGTACTTATTTCAGTAAATACAAGACTGCCTTGGGATGGAGACTGCATATCACTTCTAGTGTAGCCTCTCTCATTGCTGCACATGGAATTTGAATAATCTCTCCCTCATTCCACACAGCTTCTAATACTGCCACCCTGTGAGGCAACAACCTCACCCCAATATTTCTCCCCATCACATCCCCCATTATCTTGCAACATACATAACATTCAGAAAATTGATTCTTTTGAAAAATATTTCTCCCTCTAGTAATAAATGCCTTTATAGTTCAACCCCCAGTCACTCAGAAATATCCAGAATTTTAATGTCAAAATATAGAATATGAAAACATCTAGTAGGTTAAAGGAAGAAAATCGATTTCTAAAGCATAGTAATTACCCTCATTCTACCCTCTAAATTTAATTTGAGATTCTCAAGTTAAAGAGGAAATCAGAGTATTAGAATCAGCTAGAATTTTCCCTAATAATGTCTTCAAATTTCCTTAAACTTATATATATTAAAAAAAAAAAAAAAGACAGTTGGCCCTCCCTGGAGTTGCAACCGGTTAAAGCACAGCATTATGAAGCTCTCCGCAGCCACTACAGAATGAGTTCTATCCCTGGCCAGGGAAGTGACCCACATGGCCCAGCAGACCTCTCCTGACCTGCCGCTGCTCCCCTCAGTGGTGTACTTCATTGATCTGCCTGTTCTGCTCCCCACTCTGTCTCTGGTGAATCCTCTCACTGACCCTGCACCTCTGGGCTGTACCCCAGTTCTGTAAGCATAAATAAATCTTTATTAAAACAATTATAGACAGCACCAAAACAAAGCATAAAGAATACTCAGAGCAGGGCCCTCCTTGGTGGTACAATTGGTTGAAGCCATTTCAGCAGTAGTTCTATCCCTGCCAGGGAGCTGACCCACATAGAATAGCAGACCTCTCCTTTCTCCCTCACTGCTCCCCTCAGCAGTGTACTTCATAGATCTGCTTGTTCTGCTCCCCGCTCTGTCTCTGGTGAATCCTCTCACTGCCCCTGCACCTCTGGCTTGTAGCTCAATTCTGCATGCATAAATAATGTTTTTAAAAAAAATACTCAGAGGATGAAAAATCACATGAAAGATCAGTTAATGTAGGTCACATTACATGATATTATACAATCTCTTTCCTCATGAAAAACTGGGACTTTTGAGAGCATGAAAAACTGGGACTTTTGAGAGCATGAGAACTTGCTACTGTGTTTATCTAAATAGAAAAGAAAGAAATATTCCTTGGCCACCACCAATAGAAATCTCCTTGGAGAGTAGGTCACCTCAAATTTCAAGAATCCCATTTTCTTTATAGAAGTAAAAAGAAAAACAGTTCATATATGGCAATCAGGGAAAAGGCAGTGTATGGAGACTGTCAGGAAGGTGGTAAACTCAGGGTACAATCCTTAGACATTCTAATCCAGAAAATCCTTAAGGACATACAGTGATGCCCTCACTACGCATGAAACTAGTTAGAAATCCCCGCCTGTGTCGCCACCAGCAGGCATACACACATATGACAAGATTCTGATTTAATATTCTCCATCCTTTCATAAAAATTCCCAGAGCTCCACTCTGAGTGGAAGCTGCCCCAAAAGCTGGGGCTTCCCCACTCTCTTCCAGGTCCCTTTGAACAAAGGCTTCAACCGGCAACAGAGGTATCATCAGAGGAGGTTTTTCTGATTGGCCAGAACCTGCAGGGGCAGGACTTGGTTTCATATAGTACTTTGCTTCTTCAGCTTGATTCTCAACAACTCAAAACAGAGCTGCTGAGACCACTTAGCAAAGAAAGATGGCCCTGTACAGAGCTCTGATTCTGGGGGCCCTCACTCTGACCACACTGAGGAGCCCCTGTGGAGGGGAAGACATCGAGGGTGAGTGCAGGTTTGGAGGGTGTGCGTACCGGAATTGGGAGACAGGGACTTGGAGGGAAAAAAAATATTTTTTAAAGATTTATTTATTTATTCGTACAGAACTGGGGTGCAGGCCAGAGGTGTGGGAGAAGGGGGTGAGAGGATTCACCAGAGACAGAGTGGGAAGCAGAACTGGCTGGGAATCCACTGCTGAGGGGAGCAGCTGGCGAGACAGGAGAGGTCTGCTAAGCCATGTGGGTCAGCTCCCTGGCTGGGGATCAAACTTATGCTTCAGTGGCTTCAGACAGCTTCCTAGTGCTGCATTTTAACCTGTTGCCCCACCTGGGAGCAGCTCCCCCCCCCAAAAAAAAAAAAAAAGATTTGTTTGGAACTAGTAGAGGCTCTTCAAAGGCATTCTCAGGTCTAAAAAGTATGGTCTTTTTTTCCTCAGGAAACCAGCTTTCCCACCCACTCCTCTTGCTACCTGTGCCCTGCAGTGTTCACCAAGGGCATGTTCTGTCTCTGATCCTGGCTCCGGTGACTGGGCTTTCTGACAGTCATTCATGCTTGCCTCAAAGAGTTGGGATGTTTTAGGAGTGGGTGTTTATTTCCAAAGATTCATGAACTATTATTCTCAATTGTTTTCTTTTTGGCAACTTTTGAAGTTTTTTTGTCTACTTCTCCTGTAGTTTATCATAGAATACATAGTTTCATGAATTTTATATACTATTTAGATATTAAAAATGGTTATTCATCTCAGATGAATAATAATAACTTCTCTTTGGGCATGGCACAGGTGGGGAGTGGGTGAGCTTTAGGCAAGTCCTTTTACTACATGGTCCTCATTTAATTTCAGTTACCTTATATGTCATTTTATAAATAATTAAATAAAATAGGCATGTAGATCTGCTTTCTAGATATACCAATATATATCAATGATCTAATTTTTAACTTAGTGCCATAGGTATAGCTTAATTTTTTTCTTTAAAAAAATAAGAATTATTTTTATTTTTAAATAAACTGAAAATTTTGTAGGGAAAATTTTGGTGAATTAAGTTATATTGGCTTGTCAGTCCAAATTAGCTGTCTTCCATCTTATTGAAGGGTCCTTATTGATGGAACAGAGTAATTATTTGGTCTCCTCTGCATTCATTGTCCACCTCTTTCAATCCTCTCTTCACACATTTCTTTTTAACATCAGCAGCAACAGCAGCAGCTGCAGCAGCAACATTTTTTAATTTTACATCTTTAAGATACAGAATTTCTCTCCTCAAGTGTCTTCATACATTTCTTTACCCTGATCCCCTTCTAGGATCCATCCTTGGCTCATTTCCCTATTGTTTTTCTAGATATAGAGAATTGAGTTTATAAAACCCAAAGTAGAAAAACTGAATCATTCAAAAGGGAAGTGGGATAAAATTTACTCTCTTCTTCAGTATCTTTATTAATCATGTCTGTTCCCACTCTTACTTTGGGGGTGGGAATTTCACCTGTTTCTCAAGAGCATTTCCCAATTTTATTCCTTCAACATCACAATGACCACAGTTAGTACACTGATACAAGGGCCTGTGGTGCTTATAGAACCCTATGAAGATGTTTTAATTTTTTAATATTATAATTTTTTTAGATTTATTTATTCATACAGAACTGGGGTACAGGCCAGAGATGCGGAGGGTGAGAGGATTCACCAGAGACAGAGTGGGGAGCAGAACAGGCAGAGCTACTGCAATACACTGCTGACGGGAGCAATGGACCAGACAGGAGAGGTCTGCTGTGCCATGGGGGTCAGCTACCTGGCCAGGGATTGAATTCATACTGTTGATTCAAGAAAACTCATTGCAAGATTAAGGAGTCTTAACTGTGGGGGGTCTTAAACCAAATGGGTCATGTTGAGCAGGGAAGAGAGTGAGCTATGTGAGGAACAGACAAACTTGGAGACAAAGACACTGGATGGAGGGTTGGGAGGTCACGATGTGATCAAAAACAGGCTTAATGAGAGAACTTTTGGTAATTAAACAGACACTTCAAGAATGAATTTAAGGAGAATCCTAAAAGAAAATTTTATTGCTTGGAGAAAAATAGACCCTACAAAAACCAAGGAGTATGACAGGATAACATCGCTTAGTAAATTCGCTGGCAGAAAAGATGTTTATGGAGGAAGCTGGAATGTAAAGCTGTGAATTCCCCATCACAGAACTCAACTGCTTCTCCCTATATTCAGTCAGCCACTGGACAGTAGAGACTATGCTGATTTGTGCTTCTTTGCCTCCCACAAAGTCTGACACCTTGTTGATTCTTAGTAAATGAGAAATGAAGGAAGGAAATGGATAACATTTGATAACATCGTCCAGACGGGTTCATTTGGGTAGAGTCACACTGTGCTGGCTGCATTTCTGCTTTAGCATCTTCAGATCAGTGCCTGTGCATTCCAAGAAAAAGGTTGCAGTTCTCACTGGACTTAAGTGTTGCATGAGGGAAAAAAGGGAGTTTTAGTAACCTCCTGAAAAGAAAAAAAGGAATTATGAGCAACAGATATCCATAATCTAATAAAGCTTCCAGTCTTTTTATTTCATAAGGATCATACTATTAACAAAACAGACCTGAGACGCATTGTTTACACCTTAATAGTACTTTGTACTATTATTGTTGTGTTTGTCATATTCTTTCTTATACTCCATAAATAGAGAAAATGCTTTAAAAGTTATAAGATCCTGTATAATTTTCCTTGGCTTAAAAAAAAAAAAGGAAGAAGTAGTTCCTGTGTAGAAAATGTGCTCTGAGCCAGTCCTGAGTGGAGAGGAAGCAAAGTGAATGTATTTTAATTGCTTAAACTATACAATGAGAGAGAAAACTTATGAATCAGAGAAGTAAGCCTAATCTTTGTGGAAGAAAATTAAAGCCATCATAATTTTTTTATTCCTTCTTTCATACCATTACAACCCTCCTCATTGTACAAATACTGTGTACCAGGCCCTGAACCAGGTACACAGGGAATAATGGGGTTCTGCCCTAATGGGGAATGTTGTAGTTGACAGGTTGGTTCTAACTGGACAGCTACCACTACTGAATGGAAAGGAAGCAGGAGCTTGGAATTTTGTCCAGAGATTTAGACAAACATGGAACCCACAGTATTAAAAAGTCAGTGTCTCATGTCACTTTGTTTGATACTTAGTAAGCTTCTTTTCCCTGTGTTTTTCACCTTCCTATTCCTTAACCTCACTTGTCAGCTGATCACGTTGGCATCTATGGCACAAACATCTACCAGTCATATGGTCCCTCTGGCCAGTACACCCAGGAATTTGATGGAGATGAGTTGTTCTACGTGGACCTGCAGAAGAAAGAGACTGTCTGGCGGCTGCCAGAATTCAGCACATTTGCCAGCTTTGACCCACAGTTTGGAATTACAGAGATAGCTACAGCAAAATACAACTTGGACATCCTGATTAAAAGTTCCAACTATACTGCCGCTACCAATGGTATATGTCTCCTTTCTGCCTGTTTCTACTGTCCTTTCATGCAGGGCTTTACTCCCTAATTCCTTGGGGGTACATAATCATTCACTGCTGTATAAAACTCTCTCATTTCCACAGGTCCCAAGATATCCTTATGGTAATTACTGAATCCCCCCCATCCTCTCCCATCTCAAAAATTACATAGTTCCATGCAATAAAAGTATTCTTACGTCTGTACCACAATCCTTCAAAAAGGAATTCCAAGACCGCATATCCTAATAAGCATGCCCAGAGAGAAAGGTGTAGGGTAAAGTACAGGTCATATAATACAGCATTGCCCAAGCACAAGGGAAGCTGCTCTTCTACTCTCAGATGTGGAAACAGTGATGGGAAGGGTACTCCAGGATGCAGGGCAGAGCCATTTCCAGCTCACACCAGTCTGTTTCCTCACCACAGAGGTTCCTGGGGTGACTGTGTTCACCAAGTCTCCTGTGACACTGGCTAAGCCCAACACCCTCATCTGTTTTGTGGACAACATCTTCCCTCCTGTGATCAACATCACCTGGTTGGTCAATGGACACTCAGTCACAGAGGGTGTGTCTGAGACCAGCTTCCTTCCTAAAAGTGATCAATGTTTCTTCAAGATCAGTTACCTCGTTTTCGTCCCTTCTGATGATGATGTTTATGACTGCAAGGTGGAGCACTGGGGCCTGGAGGAGCCACTCCTGAAACACTGGGGTAGGTGTGAGGTCTTCTTCTGGTACCTTCACTTCTCTGTCACATTCAGAACATTCTGCCGCTAAGCCCATAAATCTGATGTCCTAAAGTTTATTTTACACATTTAAAAGATTTCAACGATTGGCTTCAATTTACTCCCTTAGCCTGGTGACCTGAGTGTCTGTAGAACCAACACAACCCTCTCATCCATGCCATCCCATAATCATGAAAATGAAGCTACACTCTGTATTGACTTCCACACTTTCATTTCACAGAACCTGAGACTCCAGCCCCTCTGTCGGAGCTGACAGAGACTGTGGTCTGTGCCCTGGGGCTGGCCGTGGGCCTCATAGGCATTGTACTGGGAACCATCCTCATCATCCGAGGCCTGCGCTCAGGTGGGGCCTCCAGACACCAGGGGCCCTTGTGAGTCACACCTTAGAAGGTAAGATTAAATATTGGTCAGAGCTCAGAGCCAGAGCCACAGTGTGGAGGAAAGAGAGAAGGAGAAGGTTGTGGACTCAAATGTGTTTGAAAAGTTGGAGAACTAGGGCAGGGCATGATGATGACAGAGGACCCTTCAGAATTTGTTGACCTCATGTCTGTCTTGTTGCAGGTACACTGCCCCTCTGTGAGAGAGAAGAGTGAGCATGCTAGATGACTAAGTACTATTTTCTGGCCCAGTTCAGCTTATTTCTTCTCTCCTCCAGTATTGCTCTCACCTTTTCTCTGGGAATTAAATGTTGTTTCATAAGAGCTCACATATCCCTCTGAGGTCTCCCTGACTACCCGTGTTTTATTTCTTCTGCTCTCAATTGTTATATACTATGAGATTGTTGGATATTTAGCGAGTGCCAAATCCCTAATGACCCAGATCAGTACCTCCAAGGAAGCAATAAATCCTTCTTTATGAGATCTTTTGTTGAATATTTGCTTGCCTTTCATCTCAGGACTTACTAATACCAAGACCCCTTATTCTTCAAGATCATCTAATTTTCTAAATCATATTTCCTTCCCAATAACACAGACAAAATCAAATGGCAGCTGATAGTTTAATAGATAGCTGAGGTTAACATTTCAGTCCTTCTTGGGTTCACAGTCTTGGCTGCTACACACACTCATCTAGTTCAGGCATCAATGAAGATAATATATACCTCTTCCTTTCATATAGATTCATTATAGCAGAAAAAGCAAAAACCTGAAATAAATCCATTCTCATTTTATTATAGGTTTTAAAAGGTGACGGAGAAATGTTGGAAGAAAATTTTGAATCTCAGAAGTACCAAAGGCTAAATTTCTTTCACAAAATTTAAATTTTTTAAGGATAAATGATGATAAAATGATGATGTCCTCCCTGGTGGCGCAACAGGCTCATGCACAGCACTATGAAGCTATCTGCAGCCACTACAGCACAAGTTCATTCCCAGACCAGGAGCTGACACACATGGCACAGCAGACCTCTCCTGTCTCTCCCACTGTTCCCCTCAGCAGTGCATTTCAGTAATCTGCCTGTTCAGCTCCCCACTCTGTCTCTGGTGAATCCTCTCATACCCCCATCTCTGGCCTGTACCACAGTTCTTGTATGCATAAATAAATTAATCTTTTCAATAAAAAAAGAAAAAAGAGCATATCCTTATAGAAAGACAGCAAAGCAAAACAGGAGTTCTAGATAATAAAGTGACAGAATCTCAACGTTTCTAGAAGCTTTCCTTTCTCTCCTCTCTGATGGAGACAATAATTCCTAACATTTTCCAGCTGTGTGGGCACCATGTGACGAGCAAGAAAGGAGACTCAGAGGCAGGCACAGTACAACAGGTGGGACAATCCAAGAGCTCCTTCCTAGTTTCCTGAGTATTGATCTTGTGCCCCTTCCTGGCCCAGCCTGACCATAGAAGTACCCTGAGGATCAGGGTACTCAGGGAGCACTCTGAACAGTGAAAAGTGGGGGCCCCAAGTGGCCCCGGCTGACTGAGACTTGCATCCTCATCTGCTCACCTCCCCCAGCCACTCACATGTGCCCCTGTCTCAGACAGTGAAGCAGGGCCTAGGGGCTTCTCCTCACTGGGTCTCAGCTGTTCCCTCCAACCAGCAGCAGGTGTCAGTGGCAGAGCCAGGCTGAGGCTGAAGAGAGAACTGTGGGCAGCCAGTTGTGTGGCACAGGTGAGTGATGGCTCCCTAGCAGATGGAACTGGAGACTGCTGAGGATGATGGTCTTTGTGTCTCAAGACAGGGATCTGTGAGCAAAGGAGTCTCGCATGCACCCCCTTTTATTCAATACATTTCTTTTCCCACTAAAGAAATGACAGTGAACTATAAAAAACACACTTCCTTGGCCCTCCCTGGTGGCACAGCAGGTTAAGTCTCAGCACTATGAAGCTGTCTACAGCCACACAGCATGAGTTTGATCCCTGGCCAAGGAGCTGCCACATGGTGCGGCAGACCTCTTGAACTGCCCGCTTCTCCCCTCAGCAGTGTGTTTCAGTCTATCTGCCTGTTCTGCTCCCCACTGTCTCTGGTGAATCCTCTTAAACCCTGCACCTCTGGCCTATACCCCAGCTCTTATCTGTATAAATAAATCTCTAAAAAAAAAAAAAAACCGCTTTCCTTTCCTCACACTTGTGATAAAAGTTTAGGCAGGAGAATAAATAAAAGTTACTTAAGGAGAATTTCACAGTGAGACAAATACAAAGATAGCTATGAAGGACAAGATACTTAGTCCTCAGGGTTAGTAATAGTGAGAAAACAAACAGGTTAGAAAGCACAGATATATTTAAGGTCCCTAAAACATAGATCTCATTTGCCTGACACCAAGATAAAGTCCTCCTAGGTTAACCACCCAAACTTTCCTGTGCCACCATAGCAGCTCAGGGACAGCACAGTGAATATGGCTGCAGGGTGTCCCTGCACAGAAAAGACTACATCAGGATCCTGTATCCCCATCCATGCCTGGTTGGCATGTGGAACAGCAAAACATACCAGTATTTCCGCCTCTCACTTCTTGCTAGGGAAGCGGGAACCTGTTAGAGATAATCTCAGGAGAAACAACCAGTTCAAATAATTTAACAATAACGAGTGCTGGGTCCTCCTGTAGATTCACTGTCTCCTCGTGGAAACCACTGCAGAGGAAATGCATCAACAGCTGGGATTCACTGGCCTTCGGGAGACTTTCTAAAACCTCATTCTCAAGAGTGTATGTGACTTGCCATGGAGTTATCTTACCCTTTGAAACACTTCTGAGTCATAGTTTTCTCATTCATAATGTGAAAGTAATGATACTTTCTTTGTAGAGAAAATTTCCTTATCAAATTTGAATAACCTCATTATATAGGTAGTGACTTAATATAAAATATACAAGAAAATATTGTTAGTTATATATGTAGTTCATTTATGAAAAAGAATGGGTGATAGCATATGGAGAACACTTTAGTTTTTCTAAGTCCTTTAATAATTCAAATATGGAGCCTATGGATGGATTTCTTCTCATATGTTAACAGGAAGATATTTTTTCCAGATCAGAGAATCTGAGATTGGGCTAGGCTGACTAGATAGGGTGTAGTAGTCAGCAACATATCATCAGTAAAAGGATTACTAAGACAACTGTTATAGAAAGAAGCTTTAATATTTAATTTTGAGTTTTTACTCTCCTATAAAAAAATGTGAGCCCCCTTGTGGCACATTATTTTTAGACAAGTGTGTTATATGCAACAGATTTTTGTTTATGTTTACTTTGGGGAGGAGGTAGAGATGTTTAAGGAGAAAAAGCTACCTGTGAGGTAGAAGTAAGAAAATAATTAAAATTCAGACTGGGTGATCATGAAAATGTAGGTAACAAAATACAGAGGATTTTTAGGATGTTCCCACTCTATGTTACTATAATGGTAGAAACATGTCACTGTGCATTTGTCCAAACCCATAGAATATACTGAAAAAGAGAACCCTAAGGTATACTAGGGATCTTGAGTGGTGATGACATGTCAGTGTACGTTCATCAGTAACAAATGTACTACTCTGATAGACGTTCACAGTAGGAAGGCTATATATGGTGAAGGCAAGAATATATGTGAAATCTCTATATGTTCTATTCAATTTTACTGTGAACATAAAATTGTTCTAATGTAAAGTGTATTTTTAAAAAATAAGTGAAATTATGAACCTATATGAACCCAATTGTAAAAACTTCAGTATATAGAAATAGGTCACCTGAAAATGCATAAATATGCTGAGAAGAGTTTTTCACAATGGGACTTTAGAATAAATTTTATGTAAATTTCAATAATTCATAAGGTAAGAACCCAGCAATTTAGATGTGACATGTGTGTATAAATGAAATAGGGTGATTATATTAATGGCATTATTGGGGGTTTAGACCTTATCAGGCTGGGGCTCCAGGTTGTTACAGGACAACCCCAAAATGAAATGAGTTGCTTGAGTATGAGTCCTCACCTGTGAGCCTAAAAGAGACTTATAGTAAGACTCACCTACAGTCACATACAAAAATGGTACTAAAGGGTTTATTTACAAAAGGGGAAATGAAGAAATGAATAACTCAGGGAGACAGAAAGGGAGATAAATTGGTGAATGTGCCCTACCAGTTCTGCTGAGCTGTGATCACACTGAAAGCTGGCCAAAAAAAAAAAAAAAACAATACATCCCCACTCCAACCTCAAGGCCCGCATGTCTGGTTTTACATCAAACCTGGCTGCTTAACTCAACCCTCAGGTCCCAGCATCCTCCCTTGGGATGTGTAGTTCTTGGTGTTTTGGATCTGAGTGGGGTGTGAAATCCATAAGACCTGTGCTTGTGGAGTTAGTTCAGAGCAACCTTTTCCCCCAACAATTCCTCCCTTTCACTTTCTATGGTGATGAAGGTCAGATGTGTGAACATTGAGGTGCAGACTCAGATGATAATTTTTCCGGACTCCATTTTGTGCAAGAGAAACAGTCAGTCATCAGGCATTGCCCAATGTGTTAAACAAAAGTCCTCCATTCCTGGAAAATAGTTCATCAGTCCACACCAAAAGAAAAACATGTAGAGGCATTAGCTAAAACAAAAGAACAAATATATCAAATCACAGGAAGAAAAATCTTTAAACTTGTTTAACTTACCTAAAAACAATTTCTCTCTACCTTGATCCCAATTTTATCCAACAGTATAGCAAAATACTTGCAAACTAAACCTACTTTCAGCCATTTTTCCTATTTTTGCATAAAATCACAGGGCAGAATAACCAAACAGCAATTTTACTTGGCCTTGTTGGAACACTCCACCTAGGATCAGACTGAACTCCACATCTGGTCCGGGCAGCTTCAGGAACAAAGTTGGCCTCACCAGATTCCACCTGGGTTTCCTCTTTTCAAGGTTACCAGGACTTTTTCTTTTTCCAGGTTGTCCAGTCCTACCAATGGCAGCCAGCTTCCTCACCTCCCCTGGAGGTCTCTGGAACTCTACAAACGAAGCAGCAGTTCCTCTTCTTGGTTCAGCTCAAATTCAACTTCCTGGAAGAATTCCAATCAAAGTCACACAATGAAACACGTTTCCAATTCTCTAGTTTAAGCAGACAAAATTTCCTATTGAAGTTATGCAAAAATAGATTCTGCCATGAATAGTAAAAATTACTACCACTCTTATCCATACTGTGTTGGCATCAAAGGGTGAGAAAATGCAAACACATTTGAGTGGGGTGTGGAATCCATAAGAAAAAATGTGACGTTGCTGCAGATCCTGGTCAATCAAAAGAAGAAAACTTCCTTTGAATCAAAACAAGATGCAAAAAAATAAATCCTAGTATTATTTGAAACAAAACTTATCAAGAATCAGGTTTATTTCCAACAGTCTACTCAGTCTTTTGTAAGAAATTTTCACTGTTAAAAGTTCCATCAATTGGAATCATTGAAGTCTTTATTGAAGTCTTTTTGTAAAGACAATTTCTGCAAATATCAAACCATTGAATTATGTAATATTTCAGACATCATCAAAATTGACAAGTTGCAGTATATATCAGGTACTGAAAGGTTTCATACAAGTTTCAGAAAACCAATGTTAACATTTCTGTACATGCAAAGTTTTACCTTTTTCCCAAATGGCGATGTTTCCCTTTCCATTTTACTTTACAAAGTAAACCAAATAGTTCAAATTTATCAATGCCTTTCCCAGAAGAAAAGGGAAAAATGTTGTTACATACCGCAGGAGCTCTACTGAGGTTCCACAAAATTTCCTTTGATC